TTTAGTACTTATTACAGTGCTGTGATCAGAGCCAGGTGCCCCTAAGATTTATAGACTTTTAATTCAGATAATTCAAGATGCTACCTCCTGTGCAATTGCTTCAGGTAGAATAAGGTGTTTCTTCTCCATGCGCTCACCCCATCTGTTATTTTACTGTGTTGCCATTATTTGTTTGCAAGTTAATTAGAGCAATATGTTATTCCTGAATTTGAATACCATGTCTTTCCTTCTTTGCAGTCATTCTGTCTAGCACAGCACAATATATTTTAAGGATTTGATAAATAGTTATTGAAGAAATGAAAAATCCTCTTGTCTCATTCTGTAAATTGCAGCTGCAATAACATTTCTTCTTTTTTGTTGTCTATTTCTGGTTTTACTTGTGTCAAGATTCAAGCAGAGTAATAAGCAGAGAAATCTTAAAATACTGTAGAGGAAACTCTTTAATTACTAAAATACCAGAAATGCTACTAATGAAATCATTCACATGGGTTGCACAGTGATTACTAAATTTTTTATTCTTGGAGAAATCTCAATAGAAATCTCCTGCTGATAGTGTAATTTAGGAGCCTCTGAGTAAAGGACATTTTTCCCACCAATATAAAAACATAAAGGTTTTCTTTTTGTTGTTGTTGTTGTTGAGAGGTTTTTGTTATAGGGCGTATGCGCTTGCCAGAAAGGCAGACAGAGACAGAGAGACAGAAAGCAACAAATTACCCCCCAGGGAAGATGGCCATGCCACAATCCCTTCTCCTCCATTCTTGGGATTTTGGGCACGCACACGTGCACGGCATGAGTTTAAGCCATCAGATCCGGGACTAGAACTACGGTCGACTACATGGGAGTCCAGTGACATAGGCATTATGCCAACTGCTGGTCCCATGTTTTGTTTTTAAGAAAGAGATTTTTGCTATAAGGTGTGTGCACTCCGCCAGAGAGACAGAGAAAGACAGAAAGCAAGAAATCACCCTCTGGGTTGGAGGATGGCCATGCTGCCATCCCTTCTTCTCCATTCTCCTCCTGGGATTCTGGGCACATACTCACATATGCCTTATATAAGTCTCAAGCCACCAGCTCTGAGACTAGACCCTCAGTCAGTTATGTGGGAGTCCAGCAACGTAACTATTATGCCACCTGCTGTTCCCACAGTATAAAGTTTTTAGAGTGTGACTCAAAAATATAAAGGTAATGAAGAGTATGTGTGTTTGTGTGTGCATAACACAATAAAAATAAAAATGATAGTTTTAGCTAATAAATTCTTAACTATTATAACATTTTATTTAGTTATGATATAACTGGAACTTTAAAATGATATTTTTGAAAATGAATTTCATTTGTTCATTAAAAATATTAGTTCAAGACTATGGAAATCTGTGATGATGCATTTTTTAAAAAGTAATATTAATAAATTTCTCAGGGCCAGCAGATGGTGTGGTGTTTGAGGCACTGAATTCTAACATGGCCGACCACAGTTCCAGTCCTGGACCTGGTGGCTTGCTTTCTCACTATCTCTAGTGAATGTGCATGCCCTGTAGCAAATAGGAAAATAATAATAATAATAATAAATAAAATGAACAAAAAAATTATCTATTTGAGGTTAGTTACTTTGAAAACAAAATTAATCCAGTACATTATTGAATGGTTCTTCTAAATTCATATTTTTAGGTTGCCATATATTATACATACCTCTACATTCTTTGGCCATGTACTTTCCCATATTTGGGGTAAAAAAGGACCTTTAACGAGAATCAGGGAAGGTTCTATAACATTCACATGTCCACTCCTTTTATTCTCTTCTTCTGACATGAAGTTGGTTGAGAAGGATGGATGTGTTGGAAGAATGTTACCTTCAAAGCCTATATGGTAGTTATGACTTTTCTTGTTCAGTTCTCTCTGTGAATTATTTTTATCCAGTTTAAGGAGAGATGAAGCTAAAATATTGAATCTGGAATTGTCATCACCATATTTTCCTATGAGGTTTCCCCCAGAGCTTTCTTCATTCATATTTGGAGGTTTTGGTAGCACAGATGGACTGAAACCAATGACTGGTGTTTTCCTATCTTGATGATAGGGGCCTTCAGGACTTTTAGAAGCAAATTCATTCAAAGATATTTGGTGTGTTTCTACTGAATGCCTTTTTGATTCCCAGTTTGGTGCATGGGGTATAAAAAGAGTGTTTCCTTCCATTTCATTAGGATAGAGTGGAATTTTATTACTGATCTCATCAACCAGCTGATCAAAACCCAGACTTATCTGGCTAGAAGGAAGGAATTGATTTACAGAGTGAACTTCTTGGTCATATTCTTCTTCACATGATTCATTTGGATTTGGATCTGTTTGCCAATAATATGCCATTCTTTATTTTATGTAATTGGGGAGTTGACTCTGTGCCAAATATCTTCTCAATATTAAACAAGAAGCTAGAAATTTTCCTAGAAAAAGCATAAAAAGAAGCAAAATCTTTTAATTAAGAATGAAAGGGCTTTCAAGATTGAATAATGATAGGTAAATATAAGTAAGTATTTTGAAGATTTTCTTAGCAAGTGAAATAATCTCTTGAGTAGTATAGAATACCATCAAGGTACACAAGAAGTCCCAGGGGAAGTGTTGACTTTGTACAGATTTATGAAACTTCTGTCATAGAAAAATAAGTCAACCTCAATTGTGACAAGAGTTTCACGATCTATCCAAAGTAAATTTTCCCCTTTTGACTCCTTTTCCTACTGAATACCTACTTGCTGATAATATCAGTATTTCCCTCTGTGCTAGCATGCTAAAATCTCTTTCTTATTAGCTAAACTGTCTCTGTAATTAGCGACTACCTCATTCCCACATGTACCTTAACTGTTTTCACCACTGCTTAACCAATTATTTTGAAACAGTTGTCTAGATATATTCCTCTTGTTCCCCAAACTCTTTAACCAATTGCAAACTATTTTATCCACTTTTAAAAGTACTTCCCTTCAGTTCAACAAGCTTCAAGTCAGTACATTCAACTGACAGTTTTTAGTCTCTGAATTTGTCTATCTGCAGCATTTGATACCATTCACCACACATTTTATTTTAAAATTTCCTGCTTCCTTATATTTACTATCTATGGTACTGTATTCCCTTGATTTTTCCTTGATTGGTTTGTCTCAAATAATCCTTTACCTATTACTCATTTTCCACCTGATCCTTATTAGAGCTTATTTTCTTCTTAATTATTCTCTGATGTGAGTGCTTTTACTTCCTGTATTAAATTACCATTTGTTTGTCAATAAGTCCAACCTAGACTACTACTACTCTTCTTATGATCCAGTCAATAGCTCCACTTAGTTTTTTTTTTAACTATCCAATTGAATGTCAAAAATTTAAGTCATAATTCATTCAAGAACTTGTTTCTATTCCAGTGTTCTTTGTGGCAGAAAATGGCCCAACCATCAGCTTAATGGCTCAAGCCAAAAACCAGGCTTTCATTTTTCCTCACCTTTCCTCACTATATCCAACAAATCACCAGTCTCTGTGGGGTGGGCCATGTACCTGGAATCTATTACTATCTTCTTTATGCCTGTTGTTAATCACAGTCCTAGCTCAAAGCTTTTGTTTTCTCACTTGAAATGTATTATAGCAAAAACTACTCCAACATATTCTGCAATCCATTCTGGTGCCCCATAATCCTTTTTTTTTTTTTTTTTACACTATAATCTTATGTTTAAGACCCTAAACAAGTATATCCCAGGTTCTAACTTTTCAATGGTTTCTTACTGTCTAGGATAGCAATTCCTCAGGTGACTTGGCATTTCCTCCATGGTCTGGGCTCACATACTTTCTAGTCTGACCCAGATCAACCTTTTTATCTGCTCTTAATCATCCTGGTCTTCCCTTGGCTCTTCAAAGGGCCTTATTCTTTTGCTCTTGACAGCATTTGGCCAAGGTTGGATCCTGGATACTTGCTTTACTTCTTGTCCAGCTAATTCTTTCTCATTATTCAAGATTAGGTGAAATAGTACTATTTCCAAGTAATTTTTGAATTCCCAGACTAGGTTAAACTACTTTGGAAGATATCTTATACATTTTATATTTTTCATTGTTACTAATCAGCACACTCAAAATTGTATATGTAACATTTCTCTTTTTCATTACATTACAGACATATCATGTTAATGTATTCTACTTCACTCAGAGTAGAAGCTTATTTGTGTTTGTTGAACAAATAACTTAATGGCTTTAAAAAAACCTAAAATTGAATTATGAGAAAATGAAATTGGAGGCCCATCCTGAGATCGATACTAAACTTTAGCTCTAAAATATTGCTTCCCTTGACCAAATAATGAAGATTTTCTTCAGAGACATCTTCGTCCAGATTCATTTCTAGGGAGTAGGGCTACTTCTTGTCTCCTTCTCTCCAGTTCTCTCTGTCTCACTCTGTCTCACTGTGTCTCCCTGTGACTTTTAACTTTTGTTACATTTTTTTAAGGTATTCTCTGTGTTCTCAAGCCCCTTCTTTGTTATTCTAACTGCTGCCTTGGTCTTCAGTTTTTTGCTTTTTAAAGTTAAAATCTAATGTTTTTTTAGGATTTTTTTTCCTTCTTTCTTTTTCATTTTATTTTTCCTACTTCTTTTATCTTCTCTAACTGTTTTCCTTTTTTCTTTATCTTTATTCATTGGTTGCTCAGCCTCTTCTCTCTTAGTGTCTAGACAGGTCCAAGTGAATAGGATCCAAACATCTGAATACAATTAGGATCAGAATATTCCCTATTCCCATAGAATCAAAAAGTGAAAACAGAACAGAAAAGAGATTGCAGATCACCTCCTTCCACATGCCTCTGAATGCTCAGATTGAACTTCAAGAATTAGGAAGAAACACACCATTCATTAGATGACTAGAAGTCACCACAGGGCCACAAGAAATATGAGAAAGCAAGAAAATACTTTTCCTCCTAGGGAAAAGAATAACTCCTCTTCATCTTCAGACAGTACTACTAAAATCATGGAAATGCCAGATAAAGAATTTAGAACATTCATAGTGACGAAGCTAACAGAAATGGAAGAGAAGAGAGACAATGAACTGCAGAAGAGGCAGGAGAAAGGAGATGACGAGTTCCAGGAGGTGAGGAAATTCTTGCAAGATCTAAAAGAGGAAATACATACTATAAAAAAGAATTAAATCGACCTGTTAGAGATGAAGGCTATAATACAGGAAGTCAAATTCTCCCTTGAAAGTGTTAAAAGCAGATTAGATCATACAGAAAATCAAATCTCATACGTAAAAAATAGAATCGCTGGCCTAGAAAAATCCACCTCAAAGACTGAGAAAATGGCCAACAAAATGAGAATAATATACGAGAAATACTAGATACCATCAAACGTCCAAACATCTGGATAATTGGTATCCCAGCAGGTGAAGAGACTCATAAGGGCATTGATAATCTATTCTATGAAATCCTACAAGAAAACTTTCCAAACCTAGAGAGGAACTCAAAGATCCAGTCCCAATAAATACTAGGACCCCTAATAGAATCAACCCGAGAAGGATATCCTGGTGAACCGGGGTATGGTGGCGGAGAAGTTGGACTGGGCCTGGGAGCAGCTGGAACAGCAAGTCCCTATGAACCAAGTATCTGGGCAGGATGAGATGATCGACGCCATCGGGGTGACCAAGGGCAAAGGCTACAAAGGAGTCACCAGTCGCTGGCATACAAAGCAGCCGCCCCACAAGACCCACAGAAGCGTGTGCAAAGTTGCCTGTATAAGGGCGTGGCATCCTGTCCCGTGCCCTTCTCTGCAGCACATGCTGGGCAGAAAGGCTACCATCTTAGATCAACAATATCTACAAGATCGGCCAGGGCGACATCATCAAGGATGGCAAGCTGATCAAGAACAACACCTCCACCAATTACTACCTGTCCAACAAGAGCATTAACCCCCTGGGAGGCTTTGTCCATTATGGTGAAGTGACCAACGACTTCGTTATGTTGAAAGTCTTTGTGGTGGGAACCAAGAAGGGAGTTGCAAGTCCTTGATGATGCGGACCAAATGGCCTCAAGTTCATCAACACTACCTCCAAGTTTGGCCATGGCCGCTTCCAGACTGTGGAGGAGAAGAAAACATTCATGGGACCACTTAAGAAGGACCGAATTGCAAAAGAGGAAAGAGCTTAATATGAGGATCAGATCCAGCAGATGGTAGCATCTCAATAAAGGCTGCTTTCTAGTGAAGAAAAAAAAAAAAAAAAGATTCGCAAGAGAGAAACGTCAAGTTACTTACAAAGGATATCCCATCAGTCTAAGTGGACCTCTCATCAGAAACAATGTGAGCAAGGTAAGAATGGGAAAATATATTCAAAATGTTAGGAGAAAAGCAATTGCAACCAAGAATACTGAATCTGGCAAGATAATCCTTCATATGGGAAGAAAAGACAAGAACATTCTCAGATAAAAAGCATGAATTTACCAACACCAGATCAGATCTCCAAGAAGTTCTCAAGGGAGTGATATACCAGGAAAATTAATCATAAGGACAAGTCTGGAATTGAATATTATACCCCAGAATTTATTCAGGAAGCTCGAACCACAACAGAAGATATATTAAGTACCTGGGAATGAACTGGCGAAATAATACTTTATGACTTTTAACTAAAACATTACTGATTTTCTTAGGCTTTGTTTTCCAGTTTTAAGTATTTTTGTCCTGTCTTGAGCTGCTGATAGGTTCATGTACCTACCATTTGAACAGAATATTAACCTACTTCCTGGCTTTAAGTTTTAGGCAAAATTCTTTAGCATTTCTTTGATAAAACTGCTTTTCTTGAAATTAAAAAAATATATTAGAAATACCTATTTAATGACCATAATAAGCTATATAGCATCAGCTAGGTGCTACCTTATAGTATATTTGTTCTACTCAGAGTTTTATGCCTAAAGTCAGATATGTATTCATAGATATGCATATACCAGCTGAATTTGCCATTGAAAATAGTTAGATTATTTAAAAAATTTTGTGAATTAATAAAATGTGGGGGAATAAAAGAAACGGAAAACAACTGTGGACATCTGAGATAGTGTAGGAAGAGGGTGGGAAATGCCAGAGTGTGAGAAATAGGGGTAAAAAAAAATCTACCTATATAGATATGGATATAGATATGTATATATACATACATATATATGTATATGAAACTAGAAATGGAAAATTATTGACGATAGCATATATGACTTATTTTTGGAGAGGTTTTTGCTATAGGGCACGTGAGCTCACCAGAAAGACAGAGACAGACAGAGAGACAGAAAGTGAGAAATCCTCCCCCAGGGGGGATGGCTACGCCGCAATCCCTTCTCCTCCATTCTCTTCTTAGGATCTTGGGCATGCATGCACATGCGCCTGGCGTGAGTTAAAGCCACCAGGTCCAGGACTCATACTGCAGTCAACTACATGGGAATACAGAGACATAACC